TGTTAAACATTAACCAGAAGACCCTGATAAGGATATTACTGAGCCATAAACACCAGATTGTCACCTTCTTCAAAAAAATTAAAACTCACTCTATTGGATCAATACAAGAAAATATTCTGTGTTAAATGAAAGTCCTTATTACTTTCTTCACAGTTGCACTTATTGCTAGGCATTCATTACTTAATTAAACTTGATGAAATACATGCAGACATTTATTGCTGTATGTACTACATATCTCATGTTAAAGCTTAAAACATAATGGAATTGGTTTTTGACAGGATTTATATAGTTTGCTATTGAAGTGACAGTGTTAAGTCACTTAGAGATTCCTTACTTTTAGAAACGCAGGAGGAAGTGCTAGACAACGGGATGGATTAGTTTCTGTGATGTCTAAGTTTTTCCAATATCTGTTAAGGCTTCTTTGCATGTTGTTTTTGTGGTCCAAGCAGAAGAACTTTGAACCAAATCACATGGCCTTGGTTTCATCATCTCTAAAAGTTGCAATGACTTGTTATACAGGAAGTTTTGAGATAATTTTTCTTCCCCCTTCTTGAACCACAAGAATATCCTTCCGGCACAGAGCATGTCACAGCAAATTTATGATAAACCTTTGGATTCTCCCTTCCCATTGGTGAGAGATGAATGTATTCTCATAGGCAGTGGGTCACTTTCCATGGTCTAAAATGGACAGTGTTATCACTGGATATGATAAGGACAGGCATTTATGTGCTCAGTAGACAGGAGGAGCATCTTGTCAGGAGTACCTTATGAAGGTGTGCCTCTACCTTGTGTAGTTTGTACCCCTTACCCTGCCCCTCTTCCCTGTCTGCTCTGGCAGTTGCTACTGAGGCCCTGAATAGCAAGAAGTTGGAGGTGTTTGTCATTTCGTATTTTTTTATTGGGTAGTAAGTTAGAACACTGGACTTCTTCGCAGGTGTTCTCAAATTGTTGTGAAACTTAGTTTATGTTAGTTTTATAGTGTTAGTCCTGTGGTTTCAGTAGGTGAGTGTGTGTAAGGTCTTGACTTAAGAGATTGTGAGACCACAAAGTTGGTTCTGGGTATAAATGTTTTCAGACTCTGAGCAGGTGGATTGAGTAACCATGAACAATCTTGCACATCTTCTGAAGGTAAAGTGTCATTTAACTGTGTTAAGAAGTGCTTTTGTTTGCATGCTTTTCAAGACTCTACTGAGTTGTGAACCAGTGTCAACAGTGTGGGATAACCTTGCATCTCTCTGCTTTCCCCATATCAGTAATGAACAAATAGATTACTTTTGTAAACCATTTTTGTCAGACATGAATGATTTGTTTCAAGCCCCACATAAACAGCCATGTGAATCTGCTTGTCAGTGATGACAGATCTGTCCCCGAGAAGGGCATGAATTAAAGCCTTTCTTTTCCAGATGCCTTCCTTCTGCTTGAACAGTTTATTCTCTAACTTGTAACTTGAGTTGTAGTGGATCATACAGTCATAATTAATGCAAATATAATTGACAGGTACCTTCCCTCAAGAGGGGGCCCTGGCATATTAGCCCTAGTTTTGTTTTCCAAGTTTATTTTGGTGACTCTAACAGTCTAAATGTTGGGCTTTCTGTTGGGATGGAAACTGCTACTTTTTCCAAAATCCTTCAGTGTTAAATTTCCTCAAGGAAAATTTATATGTAAATTGAAAAGAACATGCTGATTCAATATCCACAGCTTGATGGTACAAACACATGAGTTGGTGTTACTCTGTTAAAGAGCCTTCTGCCTTCAACACTACGTGTCTGAATTTCACTTATGCAACTTTTTGCTTTCATGCACTGTCTTGACTGTTTTGATAGCTTACTAACAAAACTGTATGAGACAATATAGTAATTTTAAAGCTGTATTTCCAGGCGTTTTGAAAGCTCATTACATCATTTGAGTTCCCTCAAAGCCCGAGGTCATTGTAATTACTGCAACACTATTTTCGTAGCTGATTTCTTATCTTCCAGCTCTTTTTGCTGAAGCTGGGTGAAGCCTCGTACTCTGGCTTAACTGCATAACAGAAACAGTATGCTCGTGTACTACTCATCTTTAATTTTGATTTGACTCCCAGAACAGAATGAAACTAGGTTGGCAAAGCTGTCTTGGGATAGTACAATGTGTTTCTGCCTAAAGGTTGGTCTGTGAAACTTTCCTGCTAGATTGGTGAGAAGTGATGGCAGTCACATCAAAGGAAACTGTGAGCTTTGGTCCTCTGCAGTGTGGCAGCAGTAGTTGCCAAGGCAAACAGTGAGGTTTAAGTACATGCTTGGTTAGGTCCTTAGATGTGTGAATTACGAAGGTTGTGATGTGTCTAATACTGACTGTTAAGTCACTAATTAACAGAATTAATTCCTTTGTAAGGGTTAATAACACAGGGAACTCAAATGTAACGTTGCATAATCTACTTGCTTCTGCTTTGTATAAGAATTTGAACTGTACACTTAGTTTCTAAAATGTCATTAGCAATCTGCATTAAAAAGAAGGATTGTTTTACTTAACTAATCGTTTACTGCCTGCCCTTTTCTGTGTTTACTGGTTTGTCTGGTATCTTGATACTCCTAGTTGCAGACTGAGGGCAGCCTGCCTAGAAGACTGGATGAAACCTGGTTACTTCTTTCACGTTAAATGTTCTTTTCTCCCTAAAAGCTCCATTTTGCCAATTTAAAGATTTTTACCCTAATGACTCCATTGTGTCCTCAAGCTCACTTGCATGCATTTGTGTTTCTGACAGCCTTCACTCCCTCATCCTTTAGCAGAGCAAGGGGCTGTCTATGATTCTTCTTAGCAGTCTTTAGAAGAGATCGACAGGAGATCTGCCGGTGCAGTGCAAAAAGCAGCACAAGACCTTGTGCAGCTATATCTGCTTAAAGCTGTCCTGTCCCTTTCTGTCATTCTGCTTCTTAAACTAATTGAAAGTGACTTTAAATAAGTTACCTTCAGTTCTTTTTTTCAGCTGCTATTTTAGCTGTTCCCTAGATCTGGTCCTAGGAGGCTTTTAAATGCACTCCTGCCACCTTGCTAGGGCATGGCTGGTGAGTCAGATGATGATTCTTGGAGTTCCTCCGAGTCTGAATTCTTCTGGTTCCTGTTACTCTGTTGACCTTTGACTTAGGAGGATCCTTCTTACTCCTTTTCCACGCCTATTATGTTTAGAGTTCTTGCTCTCTGTCAAGTTGTTAAAGGTAAATACTGAAGTAACTTTTTTTACAAGAAGCTGGCAAACTTAGTCCTGTAGTCTGCATCACTACCAGGTGATGGTAGTATCTCTGAAGTGGCATCAAAATGCATGTGAAATTGTCATCTTAGTTTCTTTCTATTAACTTCATTCTCATGTTTGTTAGCAGCAGCTTGAGGTTTTATTGTGTGTTTCTTAGTTTGGTGTTTTACAAGCCATGCCTGTGACTTAACACGTACTTTAAAACTCTTACCAGGAAGCTGTCTGAAAACATGAAAATAGGTTGACTGATCAACATAAATAACTTCTGCTAAATATTTGTAGGATTGATTGTGTTTCTCTCTAATACCTAAGTATATTTAGTGGACATGTGGTTCACTTGTACCTTTATTTTGGAAAACAGAACTCCCCTCCTGTGCCCTAGGCAGGTATAAGCAGTAATACTGGTAGAGTAACTGGGCACAAAACCTAATGCATCTATCTGCTGTAAAGGTTTTACAGGTGTAAAAAGCATGTATGGGTGGTTCATTTGCAACATCTGCAAATAAATACACAAGTTGGAACAGTTAATTTGCTATCTTAATTCCTGGTTGCTTCTTCCAGTAATTATATATATAAATTCAACCATAGCTAAACAGCATACCAGTGGACAGGAATGACCTGTTCAAGAAACTTGCCTGTGTATGTTTTTAACTAGAGCATCACTGCTTTCTGTGTATATTAGTGAAGTCATGGTGTAAAAAAACTGTTGAAGCATATGTAGGTTGCCATTGGCCTTTAGCCTTTAGTATGTGAAATATTCCTTAGTTAGAAATGTCTGTGCCTCAGAAGCCCACATTGTGTTGTTAGGCCACTAAGACTGCATTTGCCATTTGCTTTCAAGGCCTAGTGTTTGAATCAGGTGGATTTATACACATCTTTTTCTGTAACTTTAGGTACTGTAACTTTAGTAGATGATGTGATGTCTCTCAATTCAAAGTGGAGAAGGCAGTTGTATGGGTATCCTGGAACAACTTATTTTTATAAATACTGGGGTTCTTAAAACTTGCTGCTGTGTTTAGCACATCTGAAATTGGTATTTTAATACATTGCAGGATTTGGTGTTGCAAAAACCCTACATGGAAGTTTGTAATAAGTAAATGTATTTATTTTCTAGTTTTCTAGATTTTTAATTTTTTATTTTCTAATCCATGCTAAAAAGTTAACAGGATTCTTGCACAAACTGAATTAATTCTTGGAATAAAAAATAAACTTTGTGAAATAAGGTTTATTAATAGAGCTTAGTTGTTGTGGTTTTACTTTCTTATTTCTTAAAGCTTGATGTCTTAAAACCTTGTTTCACCTGTACTCATTATACTTTTCTCCCCCCTCTCTTTACAGCAGTTCTGTGGTGTTCTTGGTCACACATTTATGGAGTTTCTGAAGGGCAGTGGAGACTACTGCCAGGCACAGCACGACCTCTATGCAGACAAGTGAACTGTAGAAATCCATTACTACTCCACCAAGAAGCCCCCCTAAGAGTGGTTGACCAGGATAAGAAGTGTTGAATTGAAATCGGCAGAGCATTTACCAACGGAATTCAGACCTGGATGGGGTAAACCTCAGTGCACTGCCTTTCTTTTGCCTCAGTATTACTGGATTGAAGAATTGCTGCTTCTTGTTAGGAGGTTCATTTCATTTCCCATTGCTCCCAACATCATACTTCCAAGCACTGAGAATTTCACGTGGAGTATAGTGAAGTAGACTTCAGTTTCTCTACATCACTTCTGTATTAGAATTTTTTTTAATCCTTTCATAATCTTGTTGCATGTTTAACTAAATCAATATGGCCCGAATGAACCGCCCAGCTCCTGTGGAAATCACCTACAAGAACATGAGATTCCTGATCACACATAATCCAACCAATGCAACCTTAAACAAATTTATAGAGGTAAGGCCAGTACAGAATTCTTACTGATGTATTTTTTTAATCCCTGAACAGCATGCTATATTTATATATAAATAAATATATATTTACTAGCTAATAACTACTGTAAATGCCATATGAGGAGGTACTGAGACTGTATATTGATTTTTCCTTTCAAATACTGGTGCTTTGCTTTGAAGATCTGTAGACAAATCTGTAGATATCTGCAAATCTGCAGACAAATCACATATACTTTGGCTTTCACAAATGTGATTCTGAGAGTGAAGTAATAATTATGCTGTCTAGTGCATAGTACATGAAGTACATTGTTTAGTTCTGAAATGGGAATTATCTAGCCGAGTTATGTACAGACCAATACAAACATCTCCTAGTGGTAGGAGCTCACATTGAGATTGGGCTGAAGTGGTGTAACATTTCATTGCACTTCCTGCATAGTGATACATAGTGTGGGTCAGAACCTTAGGAGCTAGTAACAGGATTGCAATATGCTTTCACTGCCTAGCTTCCTTCACTATTAGCAGATCGTGGTTTTAGTGTAGCTTAAGAGGATCCTCTGTGTCACAGCGTCTTCGAGAGTGACATTTGTGGCAATAGGCTTAGTCTGCACTCAGAGCTGCTGCAGCTACTTCAAGTGCTTTGGTGCATGCTACTGACTGAAGCCAGTGGCTTGCCATATATTGCTAGTGTTGAATTTATCAACTAAATCACGTATTTAGCATGTTGGAACTATAAAGTGTGTGGTTGTATAAAGTGTGTGTGTATGCTAATAAGTTCCTTGCAGAGCTACTCCATGGGAATGTCCAAGTTTGCTAAGTCCCTCCTTAGCAAGATTTTAGGTGTACTACACCTCAATTCTGTATTTGGTGCAGGATTATTTACAGGAAGCAGAGTGAGATAACATTTGCTTGCCTTTATATTCTCACAAGTAGATCAGGTCTGCTTAGGCTGTGCTTCAGTCATTACCCTGGCAGTGGCAGTCTGAATGATGCTTGTTGCAGGGAGAATGAAGAAGGATTACTTTTTTTTTTATTATTATTAATTTTAATGTAGGGTAATAGCAAAATGGAAAGCTAAATTTTGTCATGACAGCTCAGGAACTGGAATAATTTATTGTCCTGTGCTTTTAACTCTTAGGAGTAAGTGGTCTAACAAACCTGTTGTTTTAAGCAGAGAGAGAGGGGGAAGATTTGAACTTTGCTCAGAATGCTTTTAGTGAAGTATGTAGCTTTGCAAACCAGAAGCTTCATGTTCCTTTAAGATGAATGATCATTTGGAGATGGACTACTTGGACTAATCAATGTTTATCAGGATCTGATTTTAAAAGAAAAAAGTCTGATTCAGCATAACCAAACTTAGTCTGCACATAAGACTATGTTTGCAGAAAAGCCTAAAGTATCTGGTGTTAGCACACAAGTTTTTAGTAATTTTACCTTTCCGTGTCTTTACAGGATGGCAAGCATTTGCATGAGTTTTGCTACTGAGAATTTTGGAATGAGTTACTAAGTTAGTTTATTAAGAAAATTAAATGGTAAAGTGAAGCTGGTTTACTGTTACAACATTTTTTCCACTCCTTAGGAACTTAAGAAATACGGTGTTACCACAGTGGTGAGAGTGTGTGAAGCTACTTATGACACTGCTCCGGTGGAAAAAGAAGGCATTCAGGTTTTGGTAAGTAGTGTGGAAGCAGAGTTTGGAACCAACACATTTTGCTGTTCACTCTACCCCCTTCCCCAAAAAAAAGATTATTTGACACCACTTTATGAGTGTATTCACTCAGCAACTGATGGAGGAAAAAGATGTGGAGACATCTTTTCTTGTCAGGAAAAAAAGTTCAGTTTGGAGCTAAATCATGTCATCAATGAAAACTGAGAAGAATCTATTTGTAGTATTGCTGTAGTTAGACTATTAGAAAATTGTAAGCTTAAGTGGTTTCCTCAGCTGTCATCTCTTTGTCCATTGTGTCCCCTCCTTTTTTTTTGCCTGTACGTACAGCTTACAAGAATTCTTTCTTTATGTGTTTGTCACCCTGTCTTCTAGGACTGGCCCTTTGATGACGGTGCTCCACCATCCAACCAGATTGTTGATGATTGGCTAAACCTCCTTAAAGTTAAATTTCGTGAAGAACCTGGTTGTTGTATTGCTGTACACTGTGTTGCTGGTCTTGGAAGGTGGGTGAAGTTTTAAAGATTTGTTGAATTTGTCATCCTTTGCCAGACTTGTTAAGATCTAGTGCAAAAGTTTACTTGAGGCAAATGTAAAATAGGCATGGATCCAGTATTGGAATGACCTCATGCTTAAATGGAGTTAAGATGGCAGGAAACTGTTGTATTTATTGAAGATCTTTAGGTCAAGAGATGATGCTTCAAAGCTCTCACGAAGTCTACAGAATCAAGTTAACAAGTGTTTTCTTGTACCGAGTATGTTGATGAGTGCCCCATTGAGATTTTTTGTCTGTTTTTCCCTAATAGATTTGGGGTTTTGTGACTTGCCTGCTTTCTCTCCATCTCCATTTCAGCAGTATTGCCAGTCTCCTTGAACCAAAGGCATTGTAACTGTTAACCACAAACAAGTGGGTGGTTCTGCCACATCAAGACCAGCTTTCGTCCACAACCTATCTGGGGGATGAAAAGTGTTTTCTAAAGTCCCAAAGCTGTTTGTCACATTTCTAAGTGATATGAAAAATTTTAGGGATATTGCTAAATATTCTCCTCTTAGTCCTGTTCCTTCTGTCTGCTGCCACTATCTTGAATAGACTTCCAACAGTTGTGAGAAAATAATGGTTCTACTGCTGTTCTAAACTACTTGGGAACTAGATCTGTTCCAAAAGAAGTTGCTATATTCTAGCCATGGATTACAGCATGTCCAATATAAAATGGAGGTTTCTGGTCTTGTTGTCCCTAAGCCTGGCTTATCCACTGCATTATGGCTTCACATAACAAAATTCACTGTAGTGAACTTTGTAGATGAATGTTACCAAAACAAGTCCTTTTCTGCTGCTTAGAATGATAGAGGTTGTTTTTTCCTCAAAATGGGGTAGTTAATTAGTTGAAGTCAATCCTAGCTTTCTCTCAGGTTAGTTTCCTTTTAAATCCCTGAACATACAAAACCACTTAAAGTCACTACTATATGCACTAGTCTGTTGCTGGTGTGTGGCGTGAGGTTTTGTCTTGTGGTTTTTGGTGGGTTTTTTTTGAGTCATAAATTCCTAATGTATTTGAGTTTGATTTAAGTCAAGCTTTTGTAACTGAAAATTTATTCTGTCAAGGGGGGAACACCATGGCAAACAAGTAAATCCTCAGGGGAGTGTAGTAGCCTGTGGATTGCATCTGTTCCCAAAACTTGTGACACTAGTGTGGGATTTGTCACTTCTTACTGAACTCGACCTCTCTTCTGACTTTTGTTTTGGCATCCTGACTGCTTCTAATGGTGATTCATTTTGGAGAATAAAAACCCAAATGCAACTCTTCCTCAGAATCAATTGATTTGAAACAAATGCTTAAAGATTACTTGCATTTTATTTCTGTTATTCTCTTGTGTACCTAAAATCAGATGAAGGAAGCTAAGGTTGACCAGAGTTAATTTAAACCCCTATTTAATGAGAATGGCTAACTCAAAACCAGGTGATATTATGTCTCAGTGAATGTAGGAATGCCTTCTGCCTTTTCTGCTTTCCCAGTGAAGAAACATCAGATATGCAAAAAACAGTAAATTTTTTTTCTGAGTACGCTTTGACAAAAGCTAAACTGATTTTTTTTTTTTAACCAGAGCTCCAGTCTTAGTTGCTCTTGCACTGATAGAATGTGGAATGAAGTATGAAGATGCAGTGCAGTTCATAAGACAGTAAGTGTGATACTAACATGTAGCTGTTCCCAAGATTCAGTATGTTGGTACATCCTTGGCCCTGAAGGAAATTCTGAATCATCTTTGATGCCTTTTTTTTTGGGGTTGTTTTTTTTTTTTTTGGTAAGGTGTTTAATTTAGTACATCTGAAATTGGAGTGCAAACAGTCAGTGTTGTAGGATTTGGATCTGTGGAATGGATATTTTTCTGCTGAAACCAGAATCCATACATAATTACTTGAGGAGGTTTAAAAAAAACCAGAATAACCATTAACAAACCCCCTAACCTTCAGTTAGATTTGCAGAGTTCTCTTTATTTTACATATGAAAAGCAGAATACCTTTGTCTTTTCTTGTAGTCTTCTGAAGGCAAATATGTCCTTGGATTTTTTTAATCAATGTATGTAAGTTGGAGGAGAGAGTTTTAGTCTCAGTATTTTAATTTCTCAGGTTTCAGCTAAATTTAAAAAAAGCTGCATCCATTATAAACAAAAACAAAACACTTGCATAATTGCCATGCTTCGAAGAATTAAATTTAGCTTGTACTGGTTGTATGTGAAATGAAGAATAGGTAGCCAGGTACATACTCCAGTCAGCCAACATGTACCTTTTTTTCACATATATACAGTTTGAGAAAACAAAGGAAGCTTTATTTTTGTTCAGCATCTTTATTATGGGGACTTTAAATGTTTATGTACCTTCTTACTATTGTCATATTCTTCATAATTGTTTTAAGAGAATGAATAACTTCAGCTCTCAGGAAGACCATCTTGCATCTTCTCTATAGCTTCCTTTTAAAGTTTCTTCTAAAGATCCTAATGTAAAATCTCTGGCTTTTGCTTACCATAGGCTAGAACACTGTCTAAAATGTTATGTACTCGTTTGTGCATGTGGTCCAGTGAGGTATTTGTGAAAGGAAGCTACCACCCTCTTTCCTGGCACTTAACGTCCAATTATCCCTACTTTGGTTACAGCCTTGACTTACAGGTGGCTTTTTTTAAGTGACCTAAAAATATTTTTCTCTGGTTGGTGATATTATTTCACTGGGCAGTAGATTAATGTTCTGTTTCAAATCTGGTTTTTTCCATTTAGGAAGCGGCGTGGAGCTTTCAACAGCAAGCAACTTCTGTACTTGGAGAAATACCGCCCCAAGATGCGTCTGCGCTTTAAAGACTCCAACGGTCACCGAAATAATTGTTGTATTCAGTAAAGCTCAACAGCCTATAGTACTTCTTTGGAAATAAAGGATGGAAACTAGAATTAAGCAGACTGCATGCCAAAGCCATCAGTCTGGTATTTTTTAGTAGTAAAGGAAGCTTCCTTAGGAGTATTTATTAGGCTAAAGGCTCAGTAGAAATGCAACTTCTATGTTTAGATAAATATCTGTCTATGGAGACCCAGTAAATGTTTTTGCTGTACCCTGTTTCTGAGCTGTCTCCTTGTTCATTAATTATCAGATCAAATATCCTTTAATCATGCCATTGAGTCTTACTGACCTAGTTTCAACTACTATAAATTGGGGTACTAAAATAAATCAATCTGTAGAGAGATTAGGTGCCAAAATACCCAGCATATCAGCTACATGTTTTTCCTTAAAATGGGCATAGTTCTGATGATGTGAGAACTACCAGCTTATCTGGACCTTACTATCTTTTTTTCTACAGTCATTTCAATATTGAAGAATATGGCCTCTAAAGTAGTCTTGCCTGCTCACGGTATGTTTTGTCTCCCACAATCGCACTAGAATTATCAAGATTTGCACAGTCTGTCTTTTTAATACTATGAATTACAGCAACTTTTTACCCCTGCATCTGTACTTTTCTGTTACCTGAACGTCTCCATATTACAAGTCATTACTCTGGTTATTCATGTAGAAGATCTTTTAAATTGTACAGAAGCACACAAGTCTTTAATGTCTCCAGACAAAAAGCCTTACAGTAAAATTAATGTTGGCACTTCATGTGCAACTTAACAGAGGGCCTGAAAAGGTTGGGAGGGGCTATTTAATATTTCTAGTAAAATGTTGCCTTTGTCTTGTGCAGGAAGTATAGAATATGCCCTTTACTTTAGTAAATATTTTTTTAAAATGTAGAAATGCTTTGTTATTGTAGCTAAAAATTCTTAATCAGAAAATTTCTGAAAAATCTTGTAGTTTTCTTTTACTGTACCTATTGAGAGTTGTTTACCAACTATTGTTTTGTTGAAAGTGTGATCTTTTTCTTTTCTTTTCATTTTTCCTTCTTGAGTTTCTGCTATGACTTGGGCAGACCTCTGTAATATTTTGTATGCCTTTCAAGCTGCGTAACTTAATATTTGGATACTTGATAATTTGTTTTATTATGTAATTGATAAAATGGTGATGTGTATTAATGTTAGTTCAACCATATATTTATACTGTCTTGGGAATGTGTGGTTATAGTTCTGTGGGAGAAATACTTTTGCCAGTGTTCACCAGCTTGTAAAATCTAGTGCGAGAGCTTAAAACATCTAAATAAAGACTGAAATGCACTTACGAAGTTTGCTGAAATGCTCATCACTTTCACTTACTTTTGTGTACTGTCAGCAATCTGGAGGTGCCTAAGCTCAAAATCTAGTCAGGCATCTGTTTTCTTCTTTTTTTTAAATCTGGGCCTGAATGTCCCCTTTGCTGTAATGTTTGCTGTTTGTTTTACTCATAAATAAATGTGGATAAAAATTAATGGTAGAAAGTACAGTATTTTTTCATGTAGCTTACTTGTGACTTGCTGTCCCCAGTACTAAAGCAGCTTACTTACTTAGTATTCTTGAAGCTGTTTTGCAGTAAAACAGAAGAGGATATGCACCAGTAAAGCTTAGAGAACACTTGAATCAATACCATTAGAATTCAGGTAAAAATAATGTGATAGAATTCTTCATTGTCAAGACTGAAGCTAGGTACAAACAAGATGTTCCAAAAAATGCGTGAGCAAAGATCTGTTATTTGAGTTTCCAAAGTGGTGACTAAACTTCCTGACAAGGACTAGAAGGTGCTCTTAGTAGGCAGCTGAGGTGCTTGATGCTCATATCTGCTTAGAGTTAAACTTTGGTTAATAGATCTCTTCCTTTCTAAACAGTGAGGTGGGATCATAGTATCAGTCAGTGAGATTTCCGAAGGATTGCTTTTGGAGAAGTTATGGCTTCATTGTAAAGAACACTGTATGATTTTAAAGTGCCTAAAATAATACAATATAATACAATCTTTAAAGCAGTAAAATAAAACTTTGGATCATCTTTCCTGTGGAAGCTGAACTAGGTTAAAAGGTATTTTGTTTAATAGAATACAGCTTCATTTGCCTGAAGAAATGAGATGTTATGGAATGACATCCAAAGTCATCAATGTTTCTGTTGCCAAGATGAGCTAGATTATAGGAACAATGGCAAAGACAAAATCTTCATATATTCTGTAACTCATCATTATGCTGATTGATGTAAATACTGGTTTAACACAGATTATTATCCAAGTTAAGAATTCTGATTTGGTCACCCATGAAAATAGGAGAAGTCTGTAAAACAACTACAAGTAAAATGCCTGGGTTTTTTTTTATTTAAAATTATTAATGCAATTGCTGTACATAGATCAGATTTTGCTTTCTTTACAGAATTCTTCGTGGGTAAGGAGGGTTGTGTTTCAGTTAAGAGCTCTAGCACGTTAGTGATGGAAGCTTGGTTCATTGAACTCTAAACTTGAGACTGATTTACTGAAATCAGTTGATTTCAGTAAATGAGGAAAAATTTGCATGAGTGCATGTCTGTTGAAAGTCAGCTTCTGAACTCTCTCTGTTTAGACATGACTCTTAGGAACAGAAAATCTTTTCCTCTTTTGTAACAATTCTGGTAGTTTTCAACAGTACTTAAGTTGTGAAGATAGGATAGCAGATGGAACAACATAAAACAAGTTGAATGAAATTGCATGTAAAGGGTGTATATATGTTATATATATATATATACAAATATTTACAAATTCAAGTGAAGAAATGCTTAAGCAGATTTACTGTAGCTTAAGGCTAAAGCCTGGCATGGAAAATAGGCTTTAATGTAACATTTAATTTTGGATGCTTTCAATGTGTAACTGCTTTGGCCCCTCGAGAGGTATGTTGTAGTACATTCCTGTGCTAGACTGGTTTGTGCCGTGGACTTAGTGGCTTACATAATGTGACACGTAAATGGTCGCAGTGTTTTCATCATTCCTTAGCATGTAGCAGAAATGTTCATGGGAATTGGGGTGAGAGTTTGCAATTAGAGCAGTAGAAAACTGATTAATTCCCTATATTGTTTTGTCATATGATCCCTTAAAAATTTGAAGATAGTCAAACAAGTTACTTTGTTACTGATTATTCAAAATTAGGTATAAAATTGAATGTGATTTTCTTGAATCTGATCTTACAAGTGCTGAGCAGTCAGTTTCCACTTAAGTCTGTAAACACTTGTACTTAAATATACATGAAATTATGTGGAACTCTGTTTCTCAACAGTCCTGAGCCACTTCAGATTGTACTCAAAACTAATTAATACTTCTAATCTCCCTGTCTTCAGTTCTCGGTGTATAAAAATCCATTCCAGTCCTTAAATTAGTGGGGCGGTTCTGGAGATAAGCAGTAATTTCTGAAGTAATCAGACCCATCGGCTTTATTGCAGAATAAACAATGAGAAAATGTGTAATTCAGTATTGAGGCTGAATCCAAGGTTAGACTTAGGGTCTTTGGCAGTAAGAAAAGTAGTAAGGCTCTGCTCATTTATGTGAGCATAGTTTATCCTTAAAAATGGGACGGGGGAATAAATCTTCTGTAATTAAATAATGTATTTGAGAGGGCCAGACTAGGGGTTCATAAATGATCTTACCTTAATTGTTTTTAAGCTTCTGAGTGCTTGACTGTAGCATTAATAATACTGTTTTTCCTTTTTTTGTTGTTTTTGAATATGTGCAACATTATTTAAATAATTAGTGAGAGCACTCAAAATAGTATCTTAGATTTGCTGGGATTTTGCTGTGTCTTTAATAAGCAAGTATTTTCTGTCAGTATCAGGAAAGTTATCAAACCAGAAGTAGTGTTGTCCCAAGAAGATTACTATTACCTTTTGTATGTATTTGTGTAATCCCACTGTAAAAAAAAAAATCAGTTATACTTCACAAGTTGAATTCATCTCTTGAAATCAGGCTGAAATTTGATGGGTTTATTAATAGCTAGGAGGGACTTAATTGAAGAAATACAGATTTTTTTTTTAGTGAAAGAAATTTTGCTTTTAGGTATGTCTCAGCTCTCCTATGCTAAGATACCTAAAATAGGTTAGCTGAAGAGCTCTAAAGACGAGAGCATATTCTGTAAAGGGAACATGGGATGGCAAATTCAGTTTTTCGTATTGGTATCTACAGGCAGATTAAATAAATTTCACCTAACTTCTTTAAGTGCAATAGTTCAAAGTGTCAGGTAAAGTATTTCTTTCCACATACTCTGCTCTTAATGTGTAATAACCATTGACAATTATAACCTGATTTTATCCTATTGATATGAGTTTATGCCACATGTAACCACAGCAAGTGGCATTATTTTTGTCTTGATGGTCGCCTGCATGACTGCTGTTAATTTTGATACATATTGTCCTAATGCATTGATAATTACCTCAATAACAACACAAGTTCCCTATCAGTTGAAAGCCTCTTTGTGAGGTAATAGTGTTTAAATAGTGATCTGACAAGAAACGATAGGGACAGTGCCAGAAGATCAAGTTGCCTGCTTCAGTTTCTGATTCAAATGAGAACTCTGAAGTAAATCAGATACCAGTGTTTAGATACATGGGAATGCTCAAGACAGAAATACGTTCAGTCTCAATACAACATGTAACCTGCGTCTGTAAGAAAACCTAGATGTATAGAATGGGTATTTTTTATTGGGCTGGAGTCTTAATCTCACTTTATTGGTGGAGTATAAGCAGTAGCTGATTCTTATCCTTTTTATAAATTTGCACATGCTTTATCATTAAGTTCCACTGATGCTTGTTCAGAATAGGACAGCTTGAATTACCTTTGGACTCTGGAGGAGCGAGAGTTGCAGGTGATGAACTCTTCTTCCCCATTCAGAGGAGCACAGTTATGATGCAATCTGAACAGGACAGTGCCTCTCAGCATTGTTATGCACATCCACAGTGCTAGTAGGAAGCTACACACATCTTAGTTTGTCTTCTTCAATTCCCCAGTAAATCTGTGTGTCTTTAGGTAGGGCATGCAAACCCTGAACTTGCATTTAAAATTTCAATTCAACTCTGACAAGTTTCAGTTCATCATAGTAAAAGCACATAAAGACAAGAGGCCATAGCAGATGTGCAAAACCATGGAGTTCCCTCATACTGCAAGTACACTCATCTCTTTACACTTGATGTACAAGGTTTTCCAGAGTAACACATCCCCTGTCTGTCCCAGGGATGGGCTACTCTACTCTTCTCCCTGGATTTGTACAGCAGGATTCTTCTCCCTGCCTTCAAAGTGGGAGTTCCTTGTAGGATGCTGTGGAGGATGGGTACCTGGCAGGAACTATATACCCCTGATTCTCTCAGATGCTACCTCAGGCCACCCTACATGGAGTGTTTCTGCACTATGTCTTTATTCAATAGACAGAATTTTGCTAATGGGCAGACTTTTTTCTAGGCAGACACTTGCTGGCTGTTTCCTATATTAATCTAATCAGTGAGACAATTTTATAATATCCAATCACTTTGTGTTGTTAAGGTTATCCTTCTGATGGAGAGCATGCAAACTTTCCCATATTTGTGTTAAATCGCACCCCTTTTTACCCTTCCTATTCTCATACTTCATTCAGTTGCCTGATCTTGAGTTATCCTTTTGCTGCATAAGGTTTATTTCAAACATTGAGAATCTTTACCTCCCAAGTTCTTGACATTATTTTGTTCCTGTTTTCCCTGTCTAGAAATTCTTGGTCATTTCTATTTTGCTTGTCTACTTCTCATCGAAACTCCCTTCTGGACTTCCTTAATTGCTACCTGTTTTTCTTCACTGGAAAAAAATTAGGTACTGTTCAACAGCACTTGATATTTATATGCCTGTCTCAATTGTCTTTCAGCACTACCAGAGTATTTATACTACTTTGAAGTTGGGTCTCAATAAGTTCTATTCCAAGCCCTTTGCCTTGGAAGCAGTTCTGAGCCAAGTCCAGGAAGGGAATATGAGAGTATTATCATATATTATCAGGTTGAAGCATTAGGATATTTTTGAAGGAAATCCTCTACTTGTGCTATTAAGAATATAGAGCAATTTAGATTGGACAAAACATTAGAAGGTGATCTAGTCCAACCCCATGCTCAAAGCAGGGATAACTTCACAATTAGATCAGGTTATTTAGGAGCCTATCGAATCAAGATTTTAATATGTTCAAGGATAGAGATAAGAGCTCCTTCCCAATATCCGTCCCTCAGCTGAAAACTCTTCCCTTGGAAATTATTCAGAATCTTCCCAGATGCAATTTCCCTGTTTCTCACATTTTTTCACTGTGACCTCCAAGACACTGTCTCTTCCTCTCTACATTCATCTGCCAGGTAACTGACAGAGGAAATTTGTCCCCTCAGTCTCATCATGAGGGTGAAGAAGCACAATGCGCTCTGTGCTCCAAGCCTCTAATAATCTCGGTGACTTTCTACCACGGTTCCATCCAGTTTGTCAATATTTTCATGTACTGGGGAACTGGACACAGGCTACCATATGGCTGCCTTCATAGAAGCTAAAAATTAAGGTAAATAGTACTGGAGTGAACTCTCAAGTATTCAGAATTCGTAGCTGCAGTTTCGTAGCAGTAGTTCCATAGACAACCTCCCAAATTAGTTTGGCACGTAAGTCTCAAAGGCATATTTTGTGCTGGCTATCAAAGTTTGTTTTCCTCTAGCACTAAAAAAGTTCATGAAAGCATTTTTTTTTCTGTTTACACCAATCTCTGCATATAACTGCAATTCTGTCTTATCTTCTGGGATCAAATGTCTTTTTTCAGTCTTGAATCTGTGTATTGCATTGGGTAATTCTTAACAGCTTGTAGCTTCTACACCTTTTACCTCTCTACAAAAACCTACCCTTAGTCATAAAATCAATGGCTAAACATCCTTTGTCTTCAGAACCTTGCCTTTGTCCACCTAGCAGTATGGGTAATTTTAAAAGCCTCTGTCCCTTTCACCTGTGGAATTGAATGTTTTCCTGCTGCTTTCTAGAGTAGGACACGTAACTTCTGTTTGATCCAACAACTGGCAGCTACTAATGAGTCTTTTTGTGGGGAAAGAGAATGATCATGTTATAAATTTGGTGAAAAGTGCATACATGTTACTGTTCCTATACTAACTAAAGCAAGGAGGAGGTAGGAAATTAAAGAAAAAATAGTGTCAAATCAGATATTCTTAGCCAAAATATGTGGATTTCCTTTATGCGATTAGAAAATTTTAGATTATTGGTTGTTATTGTTCTGCATTTGAAAAAGTCAATTGTCATTACACAAGAAATAGAAAAGATCAGAGGAACTAACAGTTTTAAATTTTGCTAAAGATATAATTCATGATAACTTAAAATCGACTTCAAACGAGCAAACTATGGAGCCTCCTGAACAAGTGATATTGGCAAATCCCAGGTATTGTGAGCAGAGTGTCTGCTGCTCATCCTGGAAAAAATCATGGCAGTAAGCTATGAAAAGCAGCTATCTAATTATTAATGGGTGCCAATATAGTATTTCTGACTCTTTCAGAAAACAGTAACCAGAAAAAAGAGCTTGTTCAATATTATAAATTCAGCAGATAAATGTAACTGGTGGTGTTTCAGAAGTCTAACTCTGCTTTGTATAACATTTTAAGTTATGCAATTCACAAAATAAATGCAGCACTTGGGTTTTAAAATCATTTAAATCAAGTATCTTGCAGACAAAAGAAAGATGTTCCTGTGAGACATTGTTTGAATATTTAATGGCCTACTGCTGTAACATAGCTCAGCTTTTGGACAGTAGCAAATGCTGCCCTACAGCAGGGCACCACCATACCCAACACATTCTTTGTCCAGATAAGCACATGGAGCAATCTAACTCCTTTCCACATTTTGACAACCAAAGCATAACTAACAGTAAAAAGCAAGCCATGTTTACGACCAGTGTGATCATAATCTGACTGCACAGAGCATATTTTCAAAAATTCCATTTAGACCAAAAAACATGGAAAGACTATAAGGAATATAATTAACAAACCTCTTGGGAAGAGTTGTGGCTAAATAGAGGCCTGGAACTACAAGCAAAGAAACTGCCTTCTGCTGCTTTTTCTTGTGTTCAGGGCACTAGAAGACTTAAATAGGTTACTTTTCAATGGAAACAACTTGGCCTACTACCAAGCAGCTCATGTATAAAGGGATTACATAAAATATTGTTAGGGAAGAATGGCACAGCTGTAATTGTGTACACCTGGTGTGTCACTGTACACAAAGGCCTCTGTAATACCTACTGGGGTGCTCTTTTTTTTATGCTGAACTGCAACACAGGTGCTTCAGATGGGCAAGCTCATGACATAAATGCAGTGGTACAGTGTGGCCATGGCAAAAGAAAAGTGCACATACTCTGTTAAACTGAGATGGGTCACTGGAGTTATGTGACTTTTGACAGTGTAAAGAAAAAACTGAATAGAGCAATGAACAATGATCAGATTACCAGCAATGCTTTGCCTGCTGCTTGTGTCAAAAGAAATGAAATCAAAAGGGCTGAATGCTGGAAAATTTGTGCAATGCAAATTCTACTTAACTGAATTTTGCTTCAGAAAGTAATTTCAATTCTTTGTATAATATCAACAGTATTTTAGAGGGTTAGCACCTCTACAAGTTCCATGCCTAAAAAGCCTTTGAAAAATGAGTGCAACCAACCCAGTAGCTCAGTCCTGCACCATCATAAGAATTCAGGGTTTTTTTAAAAGATGCTTGTTTTGGAAAGAGTCCTTCTGAAACAGAGGAAGTACAGGAAGAAAACTGGAGAAAACCAACTTGTGGTAAAGTGCATAAGTAGCTTTGGAAGGGCAGGGAGAAAAAAAATGCTGAATAGGTTAAAAACTGCTCCACTTCAAAACTGTTCTGTTGCAAATACCTTGTGTATTGCCTGCAAATATTGCTGTGTTACCATGCCTTCAGTTTAATGCTTCCTTTCTTAGTGCGATGGCAGCAAGAGAAGCATTCAATGTATTTCAGCCTTCATGGCACCACAGAAAGCCCTAGAGAATACAATCTCAAAAACTCAAAACAGAACTGAAAAAAAGGAAACTAAAGGAAACACAACTTTTTTGTCCTTACATCATGTTTGTATTTCATTACAAAATACTAGGAATATGTAAAGACAGCGTTAATATAGTAATATATAAGGTAATTCCAAATTCGATTTTTAGAAATATTAAAAATCAAATTTCTCTTTTGGAGGTGCTGAAACTTGGTATATGCTAGAACCAGCCAGCACTGCACTTCACGTCAGCCATCACAACTGAAAGCAGCGTAACGAATGCTGCATTCAGCTAATGCTGTAACACCAATTAGGAAAGACAGTCCTGCTCTTTGGTATCATGTGGAGACCAAATTACTCCAGGTCCTGATGTCGCGACAAACGCACACCGCGACAGTTCCCTCAGGTCTCGATTCGTGCGGATGTGCGCCACAGGTCCTGCACGGCGCGTACACAAACTGTTACCAGGAAAAGAGAAGGCGAAAACGCGCCTGCATCAACCAACAGGCGGCATGAGACATGTCTGCCCAGGACCGACCGACTGCGGAGATTTTTCTGTCCAACGTGTAGGAACCCAAGAGCCGGGCACATCGGGAGCTGCAGGAATCCGCCCGGGGCCGACGGCGCACAGGACAGATTAACAAACAGGTTGTATAACGCGGCTGCACCGAGCAGGGGGGTGGCAGCTGCTCTCCAAGGACAAAAGGCCACATCATTACACACGCACTAGTCACACCATGCGTGTCCTCAGCCAGGGTCCTAGGGGAAAACCCGCGGAGCCGGCCGGCCGCCCCCATCAGCCCTCCCCTGGGCCCGGGCAGGCCCGTCAGGCGCACGGCCGGGCCCGCGGCCGCCACCGGGCGCCTTGGGTACTGCGGCCCCCGACTCCAGCGAGGGTACCCATGTCACGCCCGGCTCCGCCGCGAGGGCGGGTTCCGCTGAAGAGCCCGTCCCGGAGCCTGTCCGGGCCCGGGCCGCCGCCGCACCTCAGCCCCGGCCCGGCCCGGGGTCCCGCGGCTCTGCCCCGCCCCCGACGCCTCCCGCTCGGCGCCTGCGCAGCGCGCGCGCCCCCGCCCGCCCCCATCCCTTCCCTCCAGCAGCGCCGTCACGTGAGCGGCCGGGCCCGGCGCGCCGGACGCCGCGGGGGCGCGCACCGGCGGGGCAGCGGGCACGCGGCCACCACCGGGCCGGGCCGGGCCGAGCCGGGCGCGACCACCTGGGCGGGGGCAGCCCGCGCGCGCGCCCCCGCGGAGCTGCGCGCGCCGCCCTCCGTCCCTTTGGCGCGGCCGCCGCGTCCCTTCCCCCGCGGCCGCGGGGCAGCGCTGGGCGGCGGAGCGGGTGAGTTATTGCGGGCTGCGGCAGCGACGGGGCAGGCAGGGAGGGCAGGAGCGGGGGTGGGGGACCCCGCTGCGCCGCGCGGCGCTCTCAGCCTTCCCCGGGTCGGGCAGGGCTGGGCCGGGCCTGCGGCGGCAGAGCCGCGGCCTATGCTGGCCAGGCCCGCCCCGGGTGGCGAGGGGCGGCCCGGCGGGACGCGGCTGCTTCCACCGCGGGGCCGCGGCACGGGCGGTGCGCGGAGGCGGCGCCGCCGCTGGCTCCTGTGCGCAGGTGACCTGCGGTGCGGCCGCGGGCCCCGGGGGCGCTCCCCGGCCGCCTCGCTCTACCCGGGTGCGGCCCCGCGGCCCCGGCGCGGTTGTTGCGGAGGCTGCCACCCGCGGGCCCCGGGCCGGCCGGGTCCGGCCGTCTGACATGGCGCTCTGGCCCCGGCCTCGCTGCCCGCGGCGGCCGCTCCCGCCCCGTGTCCGTGCGGGACCCTGCCGCAGGCTCCTTGCCCGGAGTCGTGCTGCTGCCGAGAGCTCTCACAGCGCCTTCCCTGCCCTGCAGCTGCTGCTTTTCGATCCTTCTACGTTTGTCTCTTCTCACCCCTTGAGCCGCCGATGCCTTGTTGTCCCGTACCAAAGAGAGAAACAATCACCAATTCACACCCTGCTCTTCTTGCTCTTGGTCTGACCTGTTCCGGGCGCCTCCTCCCGTCTTTTAAACTTAGCATCACCAACAGTTTCTGTGTTCGACTCCTGTGTATAGTACCCACTGTAGGAAGTGCGGGAGAAAATGTGTTTATCAGCAGTGCTGTGGGATTCAGCGGCCTGGTGGTATTTCCAGATCCTTATCTGGGATGAGGTGCTGTTTCTGGGACAGTGCGTTTATTGCTTGCTACTGGGATGCACGTAATAACTCTCAGACTTCAGAAGAGGCACCGTTCATGTGATTGCGGGTGTTCATTCTGTGTGGTGTGAGCAAGGGAGACCTGTTAGAGCCGTGCGGGGAGCGTTTGGATGAGGAGCACTCTGAGGCATAGTTTAAATTAGTAAAAATAACCTATGGAGTGAAGCGTAAAAACCAGTAAGGAAAGACAGGAATGGGGGGTGACAGGAGCTATGCCATGCAAATTGTAGTTGTAGTGTCTTTTATGTAGTTGTTAATTCATTATGCAATTTTTATGCATTTGCTTTTGTCAAAATGAATATTACCATCACTAAACAGTGGAAATATTTTAGGATTGAATGTAAGGATGGTAAACATATGGAATCTCTTTATAGCCACTAATTCATGGTTTGTTTTGCTTAATAAATTAATCTGTTGTGGTTTGGGACACAATGTAAGGGAGCCTTGAAAACGTGGGTTTTTACATTTCTTGGAGTAATTCCACTTCTGTTTACAGTTAGTACATATCCTGCAATAAAACTCTTCTTTTTCTGCAACAAACAGCTTCTACTTTTAATTTCTGTAGTTGGCTTTAAAGATTATGCATATAAATACAGAGTTCTGAGCACCTATTTTTTTTTTCAGCTATTTTTGCCTGTTACTCAATCATTCAGTTTTTATGTGCCTTTTATATTTGCAGAATGAAAGGGCACCTAACTACAAACCATGTTGGCTAGATTTAATTCAACACAGTGGTAAGGTGCTTTATGGAAAACAGAAACTGTGAAAATGCTAATCTACTCTATTTCTGCAACCTCTGTCTTAAAAAAGGCTTACCTCTACCACTTGTGTTGTGCTCAGAGTTGAGCTGATGAATTTCTTTAGTTATTTTAATTTTTTTCCATTAATTTTTCCTAGTCAACCTGAATATTATTATATACAAGCTTTAAGGAGAGAGCCGTATTATATTAGAAGCTTTTTTTATGATAAGGGCATATTTTTGAAAGGTAATGCTATGAAGTAGCAATGATAAAGTTCACCGAACTGGAGTATGAGAGTTCATTTTATAGAAGCAGAAAGTGAAAGATTCAGACAGCTTGTCACATTCTCCTGGGTGGTGTCAGTATAGCTACATGATGGATGGCATATTTCTATGAAAAACTTCACAAGGGTTAGCTATTAAGCTTTTAACTATTGCTAATAAAAATCCCAACAAACAAACCATAATTCTAATAGGTGTTTCCAAATGAATCTTTATGAGAGAGACACTGACAAATGCAAAAGGTATTACAAATGAAAATATTCTATCCAGTGACTGATGAATAATCAGTGTAACCTGCTACACAGTTTAGCATTTTTTACTGTGTTCCAGCTGAAAATACTTGAAAGAAGTATTGAGAAACCTGAGGGTGGAAGAGTTCAAAAGAATAGCAGTAATGGTGGAAATACAATCTCTCCTCATCTTTACTTTCAGTGAAATACCTCTGGATAGTGAACTTACAAATTCCAAAGGTATACTCAGCAATGGAGAGACTCAAATGGTCTTTGATTATGCCTAATTTTTGTGGTATTCAGGTGTATTCATTGGTGGGACAGTCCAGCAAGGGAAAACAGAGTACTCAATGTTTCACAATGTAAAAAATTTGCATTTTTCATTTATGTACTCCACATTTCACACTGTGAAGGTGTTTTTTGACATAACAGAAATTTTAATGCAGCACTGTGTGCCTCTTTGAGCTATAAAGTAAGAGAGGTATTTTTTTAACATAACTGCTAAGATGATTTTCAATGATACAATTTCATATTTTGTGATTAAGAAAAGGTTTCTCTATTTATTCTGTATTTCTTTGTCTTCTAAATAAATATTTTTTTTGAAATTTACTTTTCCTCTCTGTTCACTGAGGTACACACTGATGTACAGTTATGGCTGGTGAATGAGTTATGAATAGAGGTTTAACAAAGCGAGTATCTTGAGCTGTCTGCTCTCTTAAATACCATGATAGCAAGTAGTAAGATACCTGCTCTGTCATTGAGAGGAGCAGCACATAACTTTAGATTTTAGATAGATTTTGGGAGGTGATTATTACTATTATTATGTCTGTTGTGATTTTAGTAGCAAGGGGTTTGTGTCAGCTGGTGTCTGGAGACTTCAGAGTGAGGTAAACACAAAGATAGTATAGAAGAGCTTCTTAACAATTAACGAAATGCTCAGATTTACATTTCTTGTTTTTTAGTCTTTAGCAGGGCTTTGTTTTGATGGCACTAAAAACTAGATCTTACATTTTAAATGAGGGATTAAATTAATAAATAATAAGTAGGGGGTTTACATGAGGGAACAGGTGGCATATGGATACCTCATGGGTCCATGTTTCAGTGTGTAAGTTGGTCAGCAAAGTGTTCCTGGCCCTCCTTTACAGCAGTATGGATGATTCAAATCAGCCTATTTGCATACATGTTCCTGTTAGGCAGGTTTTGGCCAGTGTCCTGTTTTTCGGGAGATAAGTGAATGAGGAAGGTCAAATTTGATGATGCTTAAAGATTAAAGCTCAGTAAACCATATTCTATACAAGTTCTGCCTTTTGTTTTTGTGACAAAGAATGCTGAAAGCTTCTTTTAACCCTTTCCAAACGTGTTTTTGTGGCTAGATGGTCATTCATATGCTCATAGATCACATTGCTTGTTCTGTCAGAAATATTTTGTGAGTTAATTTAATTCTTGAAGACTGCCCCAGGTGATGGGGATTTGAGCCAAAATGAACCAGAGTAGAATGCACATTGGTGTGAGATTGGTAAACTCAGCAAAAAGATGTCAAGTTGATATTTTCTTACTGATGCTGCCTCTGATGCACTGCCTGATAATGATTTTTCTCTTTAACCCCAGGATGTGTTTGGACTGTGAGCACCATTGGGTAAAATCTCTTGCTACAGAAGATGTGGGTCCGTTCTGGCTTTTGATGCTGTAATATCCATGAACATAATGCATGCAGCTTCTGGTGCTTAAAGCATGGCAACATGGATACATGGCAACTTAGCCTTAATTTTCAGTTAGATACTTGGCAGCTTAAACGTTAAGGTTTGTGTAGGAGGAAGGAGGAGAATGGCAGTAAAACGTGCATCGGGGCTTTGAAGTAACGTTGTTTGGTAGGTGGGTTTTAAGTGTCAAGGTATCAGTGAGCCCATGGAGTGGTCTGACATCACGGCTCCAGTGAACAAAGGTAGACATTTCATACCTTGAGTGTCCCTTTTGGGTTCAGTAGTTGCCATGCAGCGTGAGCAAGGAGTTGTTTGGGTTTTTTTTCAAGCTGCTTGTGTTCTTACCTCATTGCATGCCAATTAAGATGCAGTTCTCCTCTTTTGATAAAAAATTTTTGTCAGTTATTGTTACTTTCTAATTCTTCTGTAACAGCGCTGAGTCAGCTTTTCTCTTTTGTTTTGCCATCTAAGGTG